TTTTTTTTTTTCGCTCTCTTTTCTCATCATGATCTTTCTCTTTGTCTTCATCTGCTGCTGCTGCTGCTGCTGCCTCGTAACGTGAAGGAGGCCGCGCACTGTGCAGCAGCACCACCAGCAGCAGGGGAAACTAACAATTACCTCTCTGTAGGAATCTGCGCGGTCGTAATCTCCTATGTTCCGTGAAACCCTCGAGAACGCGCTGGAGTTCATCGGCTCCCACAGCGAGCAGTACGGCTGCACCGGGAAGGAGCTGCTTTCATTCGTTGCCACCGATGTACTGCCACACTACGGCTTCGCTGACCACGCGACGCTGCGGCGGACGGTGCTCGACCTCCTCGTTAGCGAGGGCGGCCAGTTCAGCGTCAAGCACTGCGGGAATACAGTGCCACCGGCGCAGCTCATGGAGGCGGGCCTGCCGTACGACGAGTGCGTCTTCTGTCCCACGGTTGCGCTGCAGGAAAAGATACTGGGCATCTCGCTGCGCGGAAAGAACGTCCGTGCTGCCGTAAACTACGCGTGCGACCACCTCGTGACGGGCTTTCGCCGATTCCAGAACAACAGGAGCAGCAGCGGTACTGGTGGCGGACAGCGGGAGCGACGAGCATCCGCGTCCGGCTTGGGTATTGGCATCCGACATCTGCTGCGCGAACAGTGGCTACGCGTGCTGTACGTGTGCGAGTCCAGCACGGAGCCGATGGTGCCGTACCTAATGCCGCACTTTGCCGCCCCGCCGCCGTGCGACCAGCCGGGGCAGCGACATCGGCCACTTGAGACGTACCTGGCGCGGCGCCGCGAGCAGCTGCGGCTTTCCCGCATCGCCATCGACCCGTGCGTGGCGCGCCGCATCGTCGTGTCGTCTCCGGAGCGGCGGCTTGTGCTGGAGGACGCGATCCATGCCATCTTCGCCGCGCATGGCCACGAGGTGCCGGCGATGGATGGACGGAAGGTGCGGTTCAGCCTCCGCCGCATGTTGATTGCCGCGGGGCTGCGCGTCGTGACGGCGTCAATTACGGTAAAGCGCCGGACACACTCTGTACGGGTTGTCGTCGCCGACAGTGGCCGCGCCGCATCGGACGACGAAAGCGATGACGAGGACAGCAGCGGCGCCAGCGACGGCGTGGACGAGAGCGACACGTCATGCGGTGATGAGAACGACGATGAGGACGAGGACGGCGATGCAGACACAGCAGCAGCGGCAGCAGCAGAGAACGAAGGAGGAGACACGAGCGCTTGGCGGAAGAGCAGTGACATGTTTTGCGTTGACCCAGGGTATCCACTGGCACTGCAAGTCGCGAAGGTGGCGGAGCGGCAGCCGCTGGCAGTTGCGTCGGTGCTGCCACGCCTCGTTCTGTACGACATGCGCTCCACGGAGAACGAGCTGCACCGCTTCACCCGTCAGTACCAGGAGCGGTGGGGCACCATCGAGAGCACCAACGTGCTGAGCCGCCACAGCAAGGCCTTCACGCGCCTGCTGCAGCCGAATGGATGGGACGCCGAACGCCACAACGCTCCCAACAAAGACAACAACAACAATGAGGTGGCAGATGCGTCGCTTCCTAAGGGCGTGTCGCGGTGGGCGGTGAATGTCATCATGGAGACTCTGCGCGCTGCCCCACTGCAGGCGCTGCCGTTGAGCGACCTCACGCAGACTGTTGACAGGCGCACATTGGGCCGCCTGCTGCCGTACCTGCGCAGCGAGGGTCTTATCACGACAACAGGCATGTCGCTGCCAAGCGGCCGCCGCATCGGCGTCGTTGCGCTCTCCAGTGTGGAGCTGACGGAAGAGGCACGCGCCGCAGTTATGCAGTCATACCTCGATGCTCTCTCCGCCCGCGACCAGAAGCGGCAGCAGTCGACGGTCGTGCTTCAGCGGCTGCCGCAGCCGGCAGAAGGCGGCTTGGGGCACTCCGCTGCTGCTGCCGCCATTGCGAGGTCGACAGCACGGAGTGGGCGTGTGGTGGCGAAGGTCACGATGATGCGCAACGGGTACAGCCGCGTCGGCTTGTTCCGCCAGTCGCGGCTCCACATTGAGCTTTGGCGTGTGTGGGGCATTCTTGGGCGGTCGCCAGGCGACCCGCTGACGCTTGAGGAAGTGCTGCAGGAGATGAGTCTCAGTTCCTTCTGCATCATCGTCGGTGTCGCGGATGTCGACGTGGCAGAGTACATCAACGGCAGCGGCATCAACAGCGGCGGTAACGAGGAGCCGTCGTGCACGACGTGGGGCACGCCCATTCGCCGCTTGCCGCCGACTCTGCAGAAGCACTGCCGCAACTCTGGTGTGCAGCCGCTGCTGCACTCGCTTGCCGGCCTGCAGTCGCTGGGCCTTGTCGCGAGCGCACAGCCACTCGCGGCGCACTTGGACCTGCCACTCACGGCCATCAACATCACACTTGCTGCCACCACACGTGATGAGCGTCAGCGCGACCATGTCCTCCACCACGGCGAGGGCACAACACCACAGGAGACATTCTGCGCGCTGCTGAACTACTGGGGCGATGCGTGGATGACGTTCACACCGACATACGAGCCGCAGCGAACTGCGGGGCTCATCAAGGAGGTTACTACGACGGAGCCGAACTTGTCAAATGTGCAGATCGTTGCGCTCTCGCGGCTGCTGCGCATCGACAGAGGTGTCCTCGCCGAACACGTGCTGCAGCGGCAAGGTGCCGTGCACGCGCGGAAGCGCACTCTCCGCGACGCGATACAGGCAACAGCAGCGGGAGGAGGGACAGCAGCAGGAGCAGCGGACGACGACGACGACGACGACGAACAGCGCCGTGACGGATACCGCGCTCGCACGCGGCGCCGCATTGAAGTGAGCGGTGCAACGATGGCGGAGGCGCTGGAGTTGCTGCTGCAGTCGGAGGATCCATGCCGCGGCCTTGCTCGTCTGCAGATGCTAGTGCGGCGCCACGGCAAACCGCTGCAGGGGCCGCGCTACAACCCGTACGGCACACGCATCCACAGTAGCATGCAGACACTGGTGCAGAGTATGGTCAACACGTTGGAGTGCCGCACAGAGCCGGCGTCGGAGATTGTGCACTCCGTCGTGGCGTCGGTTGTGTCGCCGAACTTCACAGCAAGAAACAGCAGCAGCAGCAAGGTGTCGCATGTGGCGGCAGGAACCGGTGTAAGATCCGAAGTAGAAACAACAGCAACAGCAGCAGCAACAGAAGCCGTAGCGGCCAACGTCCCTTACGCAAAGAAGGACGGTGATAAACAAGACAACACGGCCGGCGACGAGGAGCCGGAGGAGGTGCTGCAGGATGTCATGCGAATGATCCTGCTCTCGGATGAGGCGCACTACGATGCTGTTGCGGCAACGAAGCTCCTCGCGCAGTTCCCGGAGGAGGCGCAGCGGCGCTGCATCGACTGGCTGCTAAAGTTCCCCGCATTCCGCCTGCGGTCTGGCGGCTCCGGGCGGCTGTCGCGCATCGACCTATCGCCCATTCTCACGTTCGTGCCGGCGACCGTTGCTGCTGGCGTCACGCACCGCGCGAGCCCCACCGCGTGCTTCGCGCAGGATGTCGCCACCGTGCTGCTGCGCACGCCGCCGTCCAATGGCCTGCG